CCTATTGTCACTGCCACCAAACTGGATCTCTGATCATGGGACAGGTCTATCCTAGAGCTCATAACAGTCCACAGCCTTTTCCTTTACCTTCCTTTCTCTACTGCTTTACATAGTCTTTCTCTGTCATTAGACTACAAGCTTGCTAAGAGCAGAGATTAAATCTTATTCACTATATCCCTAGCCTAACATAGTCAACCCTCAACAAATGTTTGTTGAAAGATTAAATCAAGACATAATCAAAAACATAAGGGTCTTGACCAAACATGCCCAGAGACAGGCTGCATTTCTTCATCCAGTGGTGGCAATGGCAAGGAAGGAATGCATATTTGGGGATAATATTGTGTACTTCAGTTCCGGTAAACCCTATTCCAAGTAGCATTAGACATTTCCTACCTAATTGATAAAATACACCAAACTGGTGACAGTGCAGAGAAAAAAGAAAATAGACACTGGCTATGTACTCTGGGTGATATTACACTAATTTACTAAGAAGAAAACTGAGGTAGAGTCTACAATCCAAGTTTGTGTCCTTCTAAAGCCTCTACTCTTTCCATTATATCACACTGGCTCTACTAAACGTTATTCCTTGCATCTTCTCTTATCCATTTTACATGAATTGTAATAATACAATAAAGACTTTTTCCTTCAAGGAACAAATGGCCTGCATCCAGTTAGGGTTGCAGAAGATAACTCCTTTAACTTTTTTAACAGTTGCCAGAAAATAACCAGCCCTCTAAAACTTTACTGTTAATTTATTAAAATAACAAAATCAATATCACCTTTTATGAAGTGAAGCAGCAAGGCATAGTGAAAAGAACACTGGATTTGGAAATCAGAAGACACAGGCTTGCATCCCACTCTGGCACTGTGATGCTGACAGTTACAATCTGTGTGAGTCTAAGCTTCCTTGTCTAGAATATGGTAGTAATAAAAACTGTCCTATGCAGCTCTGAGGTACATTGGAAGGGCCAAATGAGGTAATGTTTAAGAAATATTTTATTAACTTATTTAGTTTTTAAAATTTATTTTATTTATTGAATCAAAATCGATTATACATATTTTGGGGGTTGAACATTGAGATATGTTGACTAAATCAATACTACTAGCACATATATTGTTACAAATCATACTTATTCTTTATGCCGCATGTCTAATCTCTCCCCATTCCCCTGTCCCTCCCCTCTACCCCCTCTAATTACCCTAGATTTCTTCTCTCCTTCTGAAATAATGGTTACTCTATTAATTTGTTGCCTAGATGATCTGTCCAATGCTGAGAAATGTGATCAGGTCCCCCAATATTATCACAGAGCAGATGCTTCTTCTGTCACTCTGAAATGGGTTTTGTGGAAAGAGATCCTCTTCTTTTCTTTGTTTCTGTTGGTGACTCTTCTTGTGTGAATGCACTCCAGCGGTTGGCAGACCAACTGTGTGGTGGCTGTGGCGTCTAGCCACTTTTGCGGCAGCCATGGTTATTGTGATGGCTGTGGTGGGCCACCCACATGGAGGTGCTGTTTTTGGTATGCTCCTTGGCACAGGCACCATGTGCCTAGTTGTGGAAGGGGTGGCCTCAGGTCACCAGGCGAGACACAGGAGCTGGCTTGGTGTGCCTGGTTGTGGGACAGGGGTCTGGTCCCCTTCTCCATGCCCTGGGTCCCTGGGCAGGCCCCGAGTTGCTGGTGCCATGTGCCTGGTTGTGGGAGAGGGGTCTGGTCCCCTTCTCCATGCCTCAGGTCCCCGGGCAGGCCCCAAGGTGCGGGCATGGTCTGCCTGGCTGTGGGAGAAGAGTCCAGTCCCTGGCTCCATGCCTCAGGTCACTGGGCAGGACCCAAGGCGCTGGCATGGTGTGCCTGGTTGTGGGAGGGGGTCCAGTCTCCTTCTCCGTGCCTCGGGTCCCCGGGCTGGCCCTGAGGCACTAGCACGGTTTGCCTGGAAGTGGAAGTGGGGTGCGGTCCCCGGATCCAAGCCTCCGGTTCCCAGCCCCTAGTTCCCAGCCTCTAGTTCCCAGGCAGGCCCCAAGGTTCTGGTGGTGTGCCTGGGCTGGAACTAATTTTTTGTCCTTTGCTTCTAACATGGGGAAACTTCCTGTGGGAACCAGTACGTGAGCTGTATGGTTGTTTAAATTGCTACTTTGCTGCTGTTTCCCGAGGGAAGGCTTTTGGTGTAGCTCAGGGTTTAATGGTTGATCTCATAGGTAATTCCGGCTCTCCAGAGACCCAGTGGATCTGTGTTCTGTAGAATCTCTGACCTGGGCCTGAGTTTTTTCATCAAACTACATCCCATGCAATTCTGCATTCCTGACCATTCTCCTCTGAGTGGTCCTGTGCTGACTGGGGGCAGGTCAGCTGTCCTTGCTGTGTCCCAGTGTTCTCCCAGTGTTCCCATCTCACCCACCACCCATGCTGCAAACACTTCCCATGGGATGGGCCCTGCACTGGTCCTTTGCGATGACTCACCAGCCTCTGAATGGCTCCCTTTGTTCAGTTGTTCTGGCTCCTCACTCCTGTGTGGGTCCACGGAACCCTATTAATGGTCTTACTGTCCTGGGGGCCGCCAAGGCCCCCTTCTCTCCTGCTGCCTCCAAGTAACGCCATCTGAAGAGCACAGCTGAAGCTTCTGCTGGCTCCTGTTCCACGTGCTCAGCAGCTTGAGGCTTAAAGCAGCCGTGGCCCGAAATGCTCAGAGTAGCTTTTTCTTTCTATCATTGTAGTTTTCACCTGCCTTCATGAACTCCATAGGTCTTTCCTCCTCATCCCCTGAGCTCCAGCAGCCCCAGCTTGGCTGATGTTACATTTTTATAGCTGTAAATTTGGTTGATTTATGGGAGAGAGTGACACTGGGAACAGTCTGTTTCACCATCTTTACCGGAACTCCCCCAGAAATATTTTAAAAAGGTAAATAACCATACAAAATTATAGTCATTATTATTACATAAATACATTACAACGTATTCAATTTATTCGTGAGAAAAAAGACTTTTTTTTCCTACCTGAATTATATCCCCAACATTAAAACTCATCTCATCATGGCTCCTTGCTTCAAAAGGGTATAATGCTCTATAATTCACCAAAGCACTAGCTGTCTCACCTAAAGAGAAGATAGTTGTCATTATTTGCTACTTTCATGTATACACAACTTTGCATGACTCAATAAAGAACTCTCAAAATCTAAAACAATAAATTGAGCATAAACAATCTAATGAAAATTCACTTAAAACAGACTTGTTAGGATATAAAAAACAAGGATACTTCAAAAAGTTCATGGAAAAATAGAATTCAAAGCTAATACAAATCTTATCTTGACTAGTCAATATAATCAATATAAAAGCAAACAAGGATGTTCGTTTTAAGTAAAGTAGGGGGCAGTAAACAACGAGATGACTTGCAGGCTGAAGCATGCACATGGATCTAAGGGAAGATGTGGGAGTCGTGGCCATGCTGAGCTTAAAAAGTGAAAGGAGACTAAGCAGAGGGACACGTGGTTTGATCTGTGTGGGTCAGAATATGACATGGAAGAAAAACAAAAAAGAGAGGTCAGTAATGAGAAGATTAGCAAGTAAACAAGGTTGGCTAAAGAAAGATCTACAGATTTACCAGAATGGATCTAATATTAAAATAGTAGAAGACTTCACAAGTATATCGGATTTGATAAGATTACAAATATTTTACTTTGTTCATTTTTGGAATAAATGCTTTAGCTTGTAAAATTTTCAACACATTATATTATTAATATGGATGCAAAGGTTTAAGCATCCAAAAGATACAATAATATTTAAAGTAATTTACCAATGGACTCTGAGGCATATAGAAAAGAAAGTATACCTTCTGAGAAAATCTCAATGTGCAAATACTTAAAATTTTACTGTTGTTTCATTAAAATAAATGGCTTAGTTATACTAGTTGAATAAAATATTTAAAACTATTTACTTCAATTATGAAAACTCTGTCAGGGTCTTTTCAGTTAGTCAGTGGTAATTGTCTTCTTTTTTCCTACGTGTTAAGATTTCTACCCTCAGTTTGTAGAGGGAAGCCTACACACTTCTCATCCAAGTTTAATTTAGAAAAAGAGTTTTTTCTGACTCTAAGATTAGCATTTTTCTGCTTTAACTTTCTTTTGCCTCTCATCAGATTTTTTTCTTGTTGCTTTTGTTGCTATCTCAGTAAACTCAAGTCTATTATTTGTATCCTTACCCTTACACTGCTTCTCCTCAGTTTTCCGTTCTTCTTCCTGAATTTTTTCTTGTGTTTTTTTGTCTTCCTGGAGTCGCTTTTGTTTTTCTTCCTCCTCCTTTCTAAGACTTTCTCTCCATAAGTTTTCTTTTCCTTGCTTTGCTTTCCTTCATATAAAAGAAAAAGAGTTTGCATAATGTCCTAAACATTTATTTACACTAAATACAAATAAAATAGAAGATCTGGTTCTTATCAAGCTGAAGAACTAGAAAAGAGGTATTAGGAAAGGGATAGGGAGAAATAGTGAAAATTAGGTACGGAGGGTTAAACTAATCAATCAACCAATCAGAAGAAGAGCCTTAGACTCATGAATGTGCTGGGGAGTATGACTGACTGCTTTCTACATCCTCAAATTCCTTCCTGCCAATCTCCAAGCCCAAGAAAAAAAGGAAAAAAAGCTGAAATGGAACCATTCCTCAAACAAAACTAAAAATTATAACTGAATTTCCTTCTCTTCTCTCCAGATTCTTCATAACCACTGCCTCCTAGCTTTTATTACACTGTCCTATTTAATCCCTGTTTTTAGAATTCAGTCATTGCTGTGGAAATAAATGCTTCTGGAAAGATTACCTACTTTTTATATTATCACTTCAAAAAGTCTTTTTCACTTGCTTAGAAAACAGTGCATTTATCCTCAATAGGCCCCATGCTTCCGTATGTTTCTACGATACCTGACATTGCTGCAGTTTGGTTTCTAGCCAATCAAGATGATCTGTGATCAAACTTAATTATTTTAGTATTAGAACTAATGCACATTATAGTTCTTCCAAGCATGTATTTTTTTTTTAATTTAATTTTATTTTGTCAATATACAATGTGGTTGATTACTGAGGCCCATTACTGAAACCTCCCTCCCTCCTCCCACTCCCTCCTCCCTCCCAACAACCTCCTATCTGTTCTCTTGTCGCCTCAACTTCAAGGAATTGTAATTGTTGTGTCTTCTTCCCTCCCGCCCGCCCCCCGTTTATTTGTGTATTTATTTATTTATTTTTAGCTCCCACAAATAAGTGAGAACATGTGGTATTTCTCTTTCTGTGCCTGACTT